AATCTGGGCAGCTAGACTATAATGAGACATGCATGCAGGATGGCACCAGCCACACATAAGGTAATGCCCTCTGGGTTATCCCAGCCCCCTGTACTGAGGGCTGTGCAGGTAGTCTCATTTATTCAGCAAAGCATTGTGTCATATTAGGTACATGAGGGAACCTCTGCATGGAAGGAGGTGAATAAAGACCTGTCTGGACTTCTGAATATAAGACTCATAGTCACTAAGTGAAAATTAGCTGGGTTGTATATGGACACAGGCCACATTAACCATCCCGTGCTATTAACCATTCAGTGACAGGGCAGGTAAAGCCAAACTTCTGTCTTTCCTACCTTGTTTTAGAGTCTCCATATGGCATGGATTACCTCTGTGTGTGGCATGCAACAGATTGTGGAGGGGACAGGCAGCACAGTGGCAGATATGGTAGGGAGCAGAAAGCAAAGCAGCAAATTAGGCAGGCGGCACAGGGGAGGAAGCAGAGAGCAGAGCAACAGATCAGGCAGGGAGCACAGGGCTGGGAGCAGAAAGTGGAGCAGCAGATTGGGAAGGGGATCAGAGTGGCAGTTGTAGAGGGTGCAAGTGTAATGTGTGGCATGCCTGCCAAAAGGCTTGACCCGCACTAATCTAGATAAAATGACAGAAGGAAATAAATATAAAGCCTCCATTTCTACAATCACTGTTCTGCAGTCTTCATCTGACAGGAACAAAAAAAACTAGGAGGAGAACTTGTGAATTTGCAACCCAGTTTTATCCTGCGCTAGGAAGTTGGTCTCTGCTAATTACCCAAGGAATATATTTCTAGACTATTGCTTATTTATGGTCATCCCTAATTGCAATTATTTTTGTTAGGTTTATTAAAAAACGGGAATACAGTTGAGAAGAATCTGTGAACTGTTTATGAGAACTTATCTCTGAGCATGTATGTGGCAGGGGCTTAACTAACATTTTCCAAACAACTCCACAAAAAGATAAACTTGGAAGAACTGGTGTGAACGTTCAAAAGCCTGGCTGAACCTTTGGCTGATGTGAGATATAACCCATGAACTAGGTGTTATAAACAGCATCTTCAAAGCAAACAAGGCCCAGTGTGTGCAAGAGGGAGAGAAAGAAGAGAAAGAAAAGAGAGAGAGAACTTTAAAGCCATGCTATGGCCTTTTGTTTCATTCTTTTCACCCAATATTTTCCATTTTAATCTTAGAACAAAAAAATCCATCTGAATAAAGGCAAAAGAGGGGGAAAAGATGGCGAGATTTAAAAAAGATAAGGCAGATTACCAATGCAGATATGAGTTCTTAGAGTGAGTCTGTACAGTTAAAGTCAGCTTAACAAAAGATGCTGATTGAAAGCCAATTTAATAACATTGTGCAACGTTGAATATGGACACTCTTAAATCAATGTAAACCTGATGTAGATCACTGTTGCTTGTACTGATAAATCGACAGGTACAACATTTCTATTTTAAATTGGTACAAGAGCCCATGTAAGTCTTTACCTGACTTTAAATCATTTTTAAACTGACTTAAAGCAGAACACGTGCAGCTTCTGTGCATACACAGCAATGCTGCCAGCTCTTGTGGTTTTATCATAAGTCTGATGACATTTGGAGTTTTTCATAAAGCCCCAGCTCATGCAGTTGGGTAATTAAGTGAGAAGTTCAGCTTCCACTAAAAAAATAAAAAACACCTAAAAGTCTAGCCCTTATGCTTGTCAAGAAAAGCTTGAAAGTGTAACGTGAGTGCACATGAAAGTTTATAAACCAGAAATCAAGTTTTAAAAGAACTAAAATTATTTTTTTTTTAAATCTGCTTTGAAACCAATATGATTATTTTTGAGGGACCTGACTCTTGCGCCCTGAACTAGGTGATACTAAAACAACCCTCAGTTTTGACGTTGGTGGATAGAGCAGCCTCTCCTTTACAAAGCACCCTGGGTTCAAAACATGTGACGAAGAATCTGCTGGGAAGCATTTGAAGGAGGTCATTCTTTAGCTTATTGTGGACGCTTGCCCTCAGAGTCCCTACACCATGCATGGCCTGTGGATATGTAAGGGGTTTGGGCTTCTCTTTAAAGTTGCACATGCCTATAAATTCTTTTTAAAAAGGAGGGGGTCGGGTTCTTGTTTGGGATAGGAATAGAAAAGGAAGAGCAGGGTCCAGGAGTAGTGCTAACAATGCATATTGGGGAACAGAGTGGGAAATGTAACTACCACATTATCAAGGTCCAGTACTGGCGATAGCATTCTGCTTTGATGCATTTCGTTCCCAGGCCTAGGAGACGAAATTCGCTGGGGAGCCCAGTGAAAATCCATCTCCCCATCTCTAGTCAACACTAGTGAGCTAGGAGGAAAATTTAATCTCATTGCAGAGATTTCCGTTCGCAGTTGGAAGCAGTTGCACTGGTATCAGTGAAGTGAGTCAGTACAAAATCAGGATAACAGGAGTAGTATCAATTCCTGTTGTATAAGAGGTAACGCTTGCTGCCTTGTGATTTTGTGCCTGTTCAAAATACTGGTCCTGAAAAGGAATAGAGAGGTCCAAGGTGGACATTAGCGTTCCCAGGGCTTTCTGAGTTGGTAAGGGCATCAATAGCTTTTCTCTAGTACAGGCTGAAAATGATCATCCAGCTGCTATCGAGCAGCCTGGGTTATGTGCATTTCCCTCTGTACAGTTACCTACATCATAAAATTAACCATTATCTAGCTAAAACTTACCTAAAAGTCTTTGCTCTAAAACTTGTATGTTCTGTTTTGCTTCATTGGTCTCATGGGAAGAAATGCTGATTATATTATTTTTCTGCATGTTGTCCTTGTTCCTCTTAATCTACACCAAAGATATCTTTTTCCTTCCATCCCAAAACTTTCTTCTTTTACTTCTGGGGTATCGTCAGTGCAGGCTGAAAGTTAGAAAAAGCATTCTGGCAGTAAAAGTATCGTAAGAGAACAGGAAAAGGGCATACTTTCCTCACTGTTCCTTCTGTTTTGTTTCTTTCCCCCTCTTTTGCAGTTGTTGCAATCTCAGGATGTGAAAGAAGACGCCGTCCTTTGCTGTTCCATGGAGGTAGGAATGAGCCCTTGGACTCCCTGATAGTCTGGACCTAAAGCCCCAGCCACTGTGCCTCTTGCCATTGTTTCCACCTGTGCCAGGTGGCACTAAAATGTCACAAAATCAGAATGGAAATCCTTTTTAACCTCCTTTATGCTTATTCTGCGTGTGGTGACACAAAAGCTGAGAGGTGGACAATCAGGCCCTCTGACTGTATTTTTTTTAATATGTTGGGTGTCTTTACACGTGTTCCTGGGGGGTGTGCTTTAATTAGAGCAGGTTTTGGTAGCCTCTGTAATTAAAGCGCCCACAGTGTTTCATGTATTCAGCATCCCACAATTCAAAATGGCGGTGAAGGCGCTTTAACTATTAATTAAACTAATTAAAGCACCCCCCACTGCCATCTTGAAGTGCGGGGACGCTGCCCGAGTATGCTTATGATCACGCTCGATTCATCGAATCTGCTCTGACGCGCTGTAATTTCATGCTGCCCGGCACATCTACACGCACCCGTTGGTGTTTATTGCAATGAGACACTGCACTGAAAACGAAACTGCTCGAAAAGAACATTGAAACCTTGCAGCCTCGTCACCTTGTACCGAGTGAGAGACCCAGGAAGAGGTGTAAAACCAAGATCCTCACCACCTGTTGTCATCAAAACTCCCATGACTCCTTTTCTAAGAACAGGGATGATAACATCATCATTAGCTGTATTTCCTCATGCTTGAGTGTTGCAGACTGGGTCCTTCAGCCCATGTTACCTTGTACTATGTGCTCCCCTCGCAAGCCAAATACTGGTATAGTCAAGCCAGGCCAGTGCTGGGTGGGGAAATTCTGAAGTAACACTGGTGATTCATAAGCTTATGAAAGGACATATATGACTTGGTGCCTGCAGTAGCCGGGGACTGGACTCAGTGACCCTGAAGGTCCTTTCCAGCTGAGGTTCCTATTCAGTAGCTATCACTCTTCCCAGGAGTCGGGACTGAATTAGTGCCTCACGTGGCCAGCATTGGCTTGCAGTTCCTGGAGGCATCATTATACATCTAGGGTATAAAGACAGTTCCCCAGCCCCTTCATACTTTACATGTGTGTTCATAAAGGTCCTGTTCACAGGACAATAAATGAGCATATGTAAAGGAATAAAAACACCACTGCCTGCTACATATCTACTGTTTTCAGTAGCCAAGCTAAAGCTTTGGATGTGGATGCAAAACTTACTCAAAGTCCTGTTGCCTATGCACCAGATTCTTGCTTAGAACATGGTTCCAGGAGATACTGAGCTGTCTTTAGATAGGGCTACAACCATTTCCTCCTTCAGGACATAGGTAGAGCAGACACTTCTTGCTCAGAAACTAATATTCCCCTTACCTGTCTCACTGGGATGGTTTATTTTCCTTGCCTCAAGATTTGTTCCCTTTTCAGTCCCTACTTCAGTCCTCCATTATTCCTTCCTCCATTATTCCTTCCTCCAACATACTGCTGCTTTAACCCAGTACTTTATACCCCTTGGATAGTGCAGCGCTTTGACTAGCAGGCATCACTCAAACACAGAGCACCTTATAGTATCCCATAGAGATTAGACAGACATCACCTTAGGCACACACAGTGCACTCTCATTCCCCATCCAGTCTGAGGCCCAGAATCTAAAATAGAAATCTCTGAAGTCACCACATGGCACACGAATGCTGCCATGCTACTAAATGGACCCTTGCTGGATTTTTATATTACACATACACATTTTCATTGAAAACAAACGTGATTAAAGCTGCAAAGTCAGATACTCAAAATGTTAGGGAAATACAAGAATTAAGTCTGTGTGTGGCCTTAAGTCATTGGCCTCGTGAAAGTAATTTGTTTGTTCACATAGCACACTCCCTTTTTCCCCCCAAATTAGCATGTGTTAAATGAGGAAACCAATTCTAAGCAGTTTGGCTAAGAGAAGAAACCTTTTTTTCTTCTTGTTTTCTTCCCCAAACAAGGCATATGTCTTAGCTGGGGGTATGTGGTTTATTTGCATGCTGCTTTTTCAACTGGACCCCTACCTCATGCAGGTGCAGACAGAAGTGACAATTTGTGCCCGATCTGGCCACAGAAAGTAGTTTATAGCTGTGACCAAACACAAGTGCACAGCTGCAGGCAGCTTCAAAAATGGCAGATCTGGTGAAAATTTGACCCCCTCATTGCATGAGATACAAGATAAAGACGTTTCAAAATGTAGCGTCTTCTGTAACATGTGTCTGCTGAGCTCCCAGCCTGTCTCTGTTTTCAAAATGGGAGGGGGGAAAGGGAGTGGAGGGAGTTCAGTCTGGGGGGTTTTCAGCCCCCCAGGAGGCTGGGGCAGGTGTAGTGGAGCACCGACTGGGGAGCCCCGAGAACGAGCTCCCTCCGCTGCCTTTCCCCACTCCCATTCTGAAAACAGCCAGCACTGGCAGAGACACTGGCCGTTGCTATAGGCAGTGTCATAGCAATGAAGTCTGGTGCCCAGAGCAAAGCCCACAGCGGCAGCCCGCCCTCACCCCACACACAGATCCGGGGGTACACGCCCCCCCCATGCTTGCCCAGGAGTGCATGAAGTGGCAGGAGCTGCCCTTCCCCTGTCCCCGTGCCCCCACAAACCTGCCACTCATGGCTCCATCTTGCACGCTGCCCCTGCTGGGCAGTGCTTGTTGGTGCCCCTTTGTTTTGGTGCCTGAGGTGATCACCCCAGTCACCACCCTGCTTGCTACAGCCCTGGCTATGGGAGTCTGGCTCCCAGCCAGTCCCCTTCCCCCTGGATCCAACAGTGAACTTCCGTTTGGTCTGGGCGAACGTTGTAACTCAGAGCGCTTTGCACAAATCGTTCTGAGTTACAGCTGGGACCTGCACTTCTGTCTGCACAGTCACTGTTCAACATTTTGTTTCCTCGTCCCTATTCAGGGTGGGACCCCATGCCTCACCTCCTGCTTGCTATTCAAGCTCTGCTCTGGAGACAGCATTGGGAACTTCCTCATGGACCTTTTAGTCACACTCACTGCTGTCATGTTAGAATTTATTACATTCATTTGTGAATTCACTTTCACAATACCTTTTGGAAACAAGGGGTTTTCATTATCCCTAGCTTACAGAAACATTAAGAGATTAAATTTAAAAAAGTTTCCAGTACTTCTGGTGCATGATTTGAGACACCCAGGACTTGTGTTTTCAAAACACGTAATATTTTCTAGCATTTGAAAATACAGCTCCCACTGACTTCCATTACAACCATGAGTGCTTAGCACTTCTGCAGGTAAGACCTCAAAGTCTCTAGCTGGGCACCCAGAACATGAGGAACGCACAGATCATGAACCCCTGTAAAAGGTGACATGTCCAGCCTCCCTTAGGCACTCTGTGGCAAAAGCAGGAATAGAAATAAGTTCTCCAAGGCAGCATTCACCTGCCTTAAACACAGACTTTCTCTCCCTGCAGTCCTCTCCCTCATTCATACCTCTGCAGTATGAGGCAGGGGTCCTACTGACAGCCTCTGTCACTGCACAGTCCAAGATCATCCCCAGCTTTGGTCCATCCTCTGCACTGAGGATGGGAAAAATAGTATGTGATCTTGTTATTAAAAAACAAGGACTTTCCTTTCCTTTTTCCCATGTCAATCCTTTTTACTTGCTCCTTCTTTATAAGCAACAGGCTTACTATGAGGAAGTCTCAAACAACTTTACTAACAGACCAGCCCCACCTGTAATTAGAGATGATCTTGATATGTCTTGGCAAAGGCAAGGTCTAGTATTCTGGAGACAGGCATTCTGGTCCCTGCTTTGCCTTGGGCTTTGTGTGAATTTAGACTAGGCAAGTGCCTTCCAAGTGACTTCTATACATCTAATTCTCCCTTTGCAAAATAGCTGTTACAAGACTTATCTTCCTTCCCCGCATGAATGAGCCAGTGTTTCTTAAGTGTCTCACCCTTATTAAGCTAGGTACAGACATTCAAAAAGCCCAGGGCATAATTGATTTAAGTTATGTGGCTTTCTGTAAGCAGCCTACTTTAGATCAGTAACGAACAGCACACACATTGTTAGACTGGGCGCCACCATTTTTAAACCAGTCTGCGTGTGCCGAAATTCTGTTCTCCTATGGGTATAAACTGCTTTTGAGTGCCGAATTTCTATTCTGTTACAGGTATAGACCATTTTCCGATCATTTATACCAATAAAAATGTAATGTCTGTACCTGGTCTTAATGTTGAGAATCTCATAACAGATAAGCACATGTTATTTCACAATGTGTGGAGTCTTACTAATATGAGACCTGCTTAGAGCACCAAATGAGTAAAACAGAGACGTGGAGAGAGACTGTGCCAGTCTGAAGTGTTTGATTTAGCAATTAGTGGGGTAGTGAGTCATACATTTATACACACACAAGTATATCACGTGTGTGTATGTATATAAACATGTGTACAGATATATGGATATAAATGAGTGTATTTTCATCTAGGCTAAGGCCCAACTTCTCTTTTTCACAGGCTCAGATTGTATCCTCAGCCTGAGCCGTGACTGTACAAAAACTGGCACTGATTTAAATACGGGTGTGGGCACATGAGTAAGCTGCTGCTGGATAAGGTGGCATGTGAATTTACAGCACATCAGCTACTCCACGACAATTGATAAGCACAGTGGTTGACTATGACGTAAAAGCAAGCACATGGGCTGTTGACTGGAATAGCTGATTCACCATAAATTTGCACCCTACCTTCCCTTGCATTACCTTGTTTCTGTTGTGCTGATACTCTTGGGCCATGTCCACACAAGCGTGGACGTTTGTTTCCCCAGGGACAAGAAGCAGCGACACACTATCTGCCACTAATTCATGTCCCTGAGGAGTGCCTGTGCCACGTGCCCTCTGGTGCACAGCAGGTTACCCCAAGTCAGGTGGGGGAGGCTGGGTCCAGCACTGGGCTGGGTCCAGCACTGGGCTAGCCCCAGCAGCCTTACCTGGGGACCTCCTGAGGCTGCAGCAGTGGTGATCCTGCTGCTCAGATCCTAGCTGGCAGCCGGTCTGTGGCACCAGCCAGCCAGGCTCCAGTTTTGGGTGGAGTGCAATGCCCCTATGTGCGCTGCTCAGCCTTTTTTTTTTGCACAGGTTTTTTTTTCCACCCCCAGCCCTGCCCCATGCTGCTACCTTGCAGCACAAAGAACAACTGAATGTGTGGTATGTAGCACAGCAGACGTGTCTGCAGCACCACATACCGCACGGCCGCGCTCATCTGGACGCAGCCTTAGAGTGTATTTTTAAACCTTTCTCAATCAAACCTGCACAGGGTTGGGCACAGATACTTCCTAGGGTTTAGCTTAATTTGTTTTATACAGCATTAAGATGGACTAAAACAAGCCACTTTCAGAGTGTCGTTAGGGCATTCACATGCAAACCTGTTGCCATTTAACAGAATTGTGCCGTTTTGTTACACTGGTGCAAATCTGGATGTAGGCAAGGTCTAAACTGCGGGTGCTACCCTGGCAAGAGGCACCTCAGTGGGATTGGTACCCGTACCCAGACAGGTCAGGCTGCCTGATGATTTGCCCTCGTGTTTCAGCTGCAGGTGCTAATGAAGGTGATGCCTTTGCCTGTCGGAAAGATGGCTGCACTTTTGGATGTCAGCCCCAGTAGGCAAATATTTTCTCCTTATTGTGGAATGCCATTCACTGTAGTATCCACAAGCCTGGGAGTTGTTATATGACAGCAAACAGCAGACCATCTGCAGCTCCTCTACTGCGTTTCTCTACAGCAAGCATCCCTCTTTCAGTGGTGCCATATGCCTGCATGTAGCTCTGCATTTTGCTCTTTAATAATTTACAAGCTTATTTGCAAGCAGGCAAGCTCTCCAGGAGGATCTCCACAAAGTGACAGATTCTCTGTTAGCCTTGCTCTGATTGGCCAAGCCGCCTATTTCCTCCCCCCCCCCGGCTCCAAGCCCAACAAGCCCCAGCTGACACCTTCGTTGCAACCAGGAGAGTTTTAAAACTCCACAATAATAAAAGCCAGCGTGGCGACTTGCACTTTAACACGCAACTTTTGACCCTTCTCTCTTGACAGCTGCAAAGCACAGGCCGGCTGCTGGAGGAGCAGCTGCCCGAGATGATGACAGAGCTGCTGGCGATAGCACGCGACAAGATGCTGTGCCCCTCGGAGTCCATGCTGACACGGTCCCTCCTCCTCGAGGTCATCGAGCTGCACGCCAACAACTGGAACCCCCTGACGCCCACCATCACACAGTACTACAACAAGACAATCCAGAAACTGACAGCCTGAGAAGGAAGGGAGGTGGGGGAGGACGGAAAGGAGCAGGAAGAAGACATGCACCTTAAAAGGAAACAGGAAAGGACTGTGCTACAAATTGATCAGCTACTGGAGAGGGAGAAGCAAGACCCTTTACGATTCAATACCTAAGAAGACAAAACGCCAGCATGCTTAAGAATATGTTCGTGGGGGTGGGGGGAGAAGCATGTTTCTTCTCAGCTGTGTTGCCAAGTGCCAGCCCTCTTCCCCGCCGTGTTTTTGTTTTAGGTTTCTTTTATTAAACCATTGCTCATGCAGCAGTGCATCCCGCCGTGTCATTGTCTGGCTTCAGAAAAGAACATGGAGAATTTGAAAAGCGAGTGGAAGTGCAGGCGAGGATTGTTTTCACACCATTCTCTTGGCTTGCACTGGCCAACTGGCAGGAGACAACGTGCAGCAGATGTCTTGGGAGGACAAAGCAAGACACGTTCCACTCCAGACGCTGGTAATTGACGGCTTTTGTCAAGCGGAGCTTGCTTTCTTTTTTTTTCTTTTTGTACCCTCCTCTTGTCTTCAACTTTTTCTCCCCCACCCATGCCCTTCAAAATCTGATGCTAGACTAGGACTTCACACCAGATGAATTTTCATTTGCACTGGGTTTTCTTTCTCTTTGCTCTTTTGTTTTGCTTTTTTTTAAATGAACAGTTGCTATCAACTTTAAAACAAGAAAACAACTTTATGATGTGAGCCCGTGAGTGGGGCGCACAAAGATGCTAAATTAAAAGGAGAAGTCAAAACAAAATAAAATAAAAAAAGCCACTTTAGACGTGCCCTAGCCACAGACATCTTGCCAGTAGCCTGTTACGGTAATTGAAAAACGTGCGCTCTGTGCTGGGAACTCGAAGAAACACAGGAATTCTGCAGCCGTTTGCTGTTGCTGTTAAAGACTCGATATCCCGCATCCACTACGCTATAAGCCGTTTTTGTTTGTTTGTTTGTTTGTTTTTCGTTTGTTTAAAAAGTGCTTTATTGTAATTAAAGTCACAGTTGTAATTATACAGTTAAACCTGGCCCATTATAGTTGGGCCTAATAATATACAGGGTGAGGGGGGAAATGAAGACTTGAAATTCATCTTTGGAAACCAATAAATAGACGACAGCAAGTTATATGGCATTTGTAAGGGAAAGACAAAAGAAAAGCCAAAAAATATAGGTTTCTAGTTTGGCTTCTGACTAGCTTAAGTTTCCTAATGAGTGTGTCTAGGTTGGTATTACATAGATGTGGAAGTAGAAAGGTGAGGCTTCCCGCTCTTCGCATCCCTTGAAGGACTATCTTTTAATCAGTGTAACTCCCGGGCAGAGTGTGCTCCACGTGGTGTGTTTCTTTCCCCAAAATAAGTGTTAGGAGAAGAGCAATATGAATGTCTAGAGACAGATGTTGGAGGTAGCAAAAGGAGGAGGCCTACCCCACTGGAGTTGTCTGTGTGCGCCCAGTCCAGTGAGGCTACAAATCTGTCAAAGCCCCAGCAAAGGACCTGCATGCAACAGTTGATGCCTTTAGCTTTACGGGGGTCTCCAGTTTAATCCTGGGTGTGTCAGTCAAAACAGAGGGTGTCGCATACAGGGAGGCTTGTGTGGGATTTGAATTGCCGTGTCCATCGAGTGTCCAGTCTGCAAAGGGTGCACCCTCAGCTAGGGAACATTGATGAGTCTTTAGCTAAAGCTGTGGTGGCTCATGCTTTTAGCCTTCGGGGTTCCCAGTTCAATCCCAAATTGCCTGCCCAGATGAGTTTTATTAGTATTAGAGACATTGTGAGCCCCTGTATAGGGAAGCTGTCGTCAGGAGTGTAAGCATCATATTGACTAGATTAGGGTTAGTGGATGCAGAACTGTATCTACCCAAGGGCGCTCAGTGACGCTGACACCAATGAACCTGAACTGTCTGGACAATGGGGGAAGCATTTTCAAAACTCCCCCCGTGCAGTCAGGCCTACAGGGAGGAGAGAGACCACTGATTTGAGGCGACTAGGAAGAAGGCAAACAGTATGTATGTAGCATGTGTTATTAGGATGAGACAGTCTTAAAATAAGGAGTAGTTTTGAAGCACACACAAATTTGGCAGCTTCTGAGCATTCGGTACCTTTATTTCATAAAGACTCCATGCTCTACCAGGTGTGTGATTTCTGAGAAGAGCAAAGCTCCCCACTAAACCTTTCCATGAGGCCTGATCCTGCAGTGGGGTGAAACCTTTAATTTCCAGTGAAGTCCATGGACCTTGTGGATGCTCAGTACTGCCCAGAAAGCACTTAGTGACCTAAGGATCTGATTCCCAATGTATAGGCCAAGGCAAGTGATTTGGGAGAGTGTGGTATTTATTTGTTTGGGGTCAGAGCATTTTTAACCACACTTTTAAGACCTGTTAACTAGTTTTGGATTATTTTTGGAGACGGAAATCTTTTCTGGTCCAGCATTTGAAATGTGCTTTGAAGTCACTTATTTTGGCAGTGTTGTATTGGTAAAGAGGGACTGCCAGGCCATTACTTCACTTCCTAAACGGTGACCAGGAAATGATGTCAGGGCTTGGTGGTTTCCTTATTTGCTTCTTTATTGATGCTTTTACTTACTAAATCACTTCTGGTGCTTACTTGATGAAGTCTAACAGAAATGAAGAGAGGAATTTCCCTGTATTTGTTCAGGGCACATTACAGAGGAAAGCTAGAAGGTGAAGCTGGAATAGATAACCGTCCTCCCATACACATGCCACCTGACCACAGCCCCCCACATCAGGTGGATCAGGCAGTGATCATTAATTCCTGTATAACCTTCCCACAATTGCATTGCTGCAACAGGTCTAGAAAACACTCTTGGGAAATCCATTTCAGTGTTTATAACACGCACAAATTATTTTCCAAAAGGCAGTTTGTGGTTTGGGCTACTGATCACCGCTTGAAATACGTTGGGGGTAGTGGCATAGTCCATTTTTTTTCTCTACGTTCCTCTTATTATTCAATTTACTTTCCTTTCCCCTGGTAATGACAACACATACGGATATGGCAGGCCCACCCCACCTCATGGAAACAGTACAATTCCTAATTAAAAACAAGGCCTGAACACAAGCCCCCAGATCCAGACCGCCAGCAGCTGCAGGGCAAAGCAGATCTAAAACTAAGCTCTGCAACTGAGACCCATCCCTTCTTCCACTAGGTTTAATTTTTGCCAGCTTGTTGAGAAGAATAAAGATTCAATCCAGATCTTTTTTGGATGTTCAGGATGTTTTATGGAGGCGTAAAAGAAAATCAGATCCGTCTGTGACTTGAGGAAAAAAAATTACATGTGGGAAGCCAAGTTTGAGGGCAGAAATTTCCAACAGAGAAAATGCCACAGGAGGAGAAGAGATTTGTTTCATGATTCGCAACTATTTGAACTTTTCAGCTGATGGTCGGCTGGGTGTTTTCGAAGGCACATATGAAGCAAGGGAAAACAGCAGGAAACAGGAACTTCAATTGTAATGTCTCCAAGAAAGAAAGAAAAATCCATGATTCAACTGTGAAACAATTCTCTAATGTTGCTGGGCTTCTCTAGAAAGATTGATTTCTGTTCTAGAATTGACCAGGGCTGACTGGCAAGTTAGCACTTCTTCCCTGAGTTACATTGGGAAACGAGAAGTATTGTCATAGCAGAGGCATGAATGTTGTGTCTCGGATAGTCGTGAGAGGTTGGACTTTATAGGACCAACGAGGTTCAGCAACATTATAAGCATCTGCGTTGTATATTTTGACTCAAACCCTCCATAAATATCTGCTCCCTGAGGACCCATTCTTTGGGATATGGAAGAAGTGATCATTTCAGACTGAACGGAGCACAGCCTCACAAAATTTCAGTTTTTTAGGACTCCAGGCACAAAATCTATTTTCCCTTTTCCTGTCAGGATGGTACAAACTGAAGGCAAAGATTGGTTTGTTTGTTTTTTTAATAAAGAAAATTATCCTGGATGAATAAAATGAGATCCTTTGACCCTAGGTGACTTCCTGCCCTTGGGGCAGGGGGCTGGACTCGATGATCTCCCGAGGTCCCTTCCAGCCCTAGTGTCTATGAATTTTTCAAGGTTGATCTAGTGTCATGGAGGCTTCCAATGTGTGGCTGGTACGCAGTTGAGTGTTGGCTTGCTTTGTCAGCCACTCAGCATCACTATTTAAGCAGTTTTCCCGATTCAGTTGCTGCTCCTTGTTCCAGAATAAAGTGGGGGGAGAATTAGATTTTGTTTTGATTTTTTTTAAGGGGAAACAGAGACCAAAAGACTGGCACGAGCCGAACCCTAATGGGAAACACGTACCATGATCAAACATGATGGTAGGTTGGAGTACTAGTGCCTCTGATCACCACCGCCCTCACCTCCTATTCCTCCAGGCCCTACCAGTAAGCTTGCCAATGTTTGTGGCTTCTGTCTTCCACCTGATACAATCCCACCGTTTCCTGTTCGACCTTTGAATGTATCGAAGGAAGAAAATGGAAAACCCCAGAGGAGAACTGGATATTGCATTCCCAAGACCTTGAATTCTCACCTAGTCGCTGGCAATTTTCTTGAAGCATTAAGAGGCAAAGCCAAGCCACGTGGCAGTCATTCTGTTTAAGTGCTTCCCCACTGCCCACCCTAAGGTTTATTCATTGCTTGCCTTTAATAGAGAAGGCCTTCTACCTGCGGCCCGGCACCCAGGAACACTGGCTCAATGGATTCGGCCCCTTGCTTTGTTCTGCAGTTCTGGGATTTCTCCCAACCTTCCTTGGACAATGTCTAAAAACTACTTGTGATGTGGAAACCATCTTTTTAATGATTGTGATTTATATCCAACATTTAATTAACGTATGTTCATTCTGCCATTAACTGCTTTGTAATTTGGTATTTTGATTGCGCCATCAATATATGTGAATCTAAATGTTGACTGAAAATGTATTTTTTTCCCTGGAATTATAAACACCACCAATCCTATCTTTTTCAAGTCCATGAGTAACTGTCAGATGTACATGTGATGTTACTAACCACTGAACAGTATTGCTAGGGAATGAAGGAAACGGCACAACATAGCTTTGCTCTTAATCTAAGGTTGGTGACAACTTGTTGTTTCCAGGTTTCTAGAATATCTGGAAACTGTCCACCATTCGGATGTGAAGATGTCACCAGTATCACCAGTATCTCACTGGTGTAATTAGCATCCTATAAGATGCTCTGTGTTGGGAGACTCCTGTACCAGGGAGGTAGCTGGATACAGTATCATGAATCCATGAGATGTCTGTAAAGCAGAGGACTGGTTTTTACATGTTTGTGTTTCATTGTAAGAAAAATTCAACATGAGCTTTTTTGGCTTTCTTTAAAGACTGCAAATTTTTAGTGTCTATTCAAATAACCTCCTGAAGGAGTATGAGCAACTGTTTCTGTTTCTGTTAGGCAATGGGAAGTATCCACCTTTGTACTCTTCTCAGTAAAAATAGTTGACAGACTTGTTCCCTGAGGACTAAACCAGCTCAGAGTAGGGAGAGTGTACTTAGATGCACTGGGGCAAAACTTCAGCTGGTGTAAGTCAGAATAGCTTCTTTGTAGAGATGGCATTTTACACCAGCAGAGCATCACGCCCTTCATATACAAGCCATTGAAATGGTCTTGCTTTCTCCCTTGGGAGACATCCCCTCATTTGCAATCTGCAGCAGATCCAGGTTGAGACCAGCAGCAGCGGTGTTGGAAGGCCCCTGAGATGCTACTGGGGCTAGGCACAAACTGTTTTCTGAACAATACAGCAACTACATTTGCCATCAGGGTGGAGGAGGAGGGGGAGAGCTCAAATGAAGAACAGATTTGTGGAGTCCTCTGCTCTAGCATGGTTAGCTGTCTGCCCAGAGTCTATATGGCATGTGATTAGACTGGTTTCCTAGTGAAATTATTTCCGAGCCAAAGGTTTTAGTTTTCCGCAATGTAACTTGTTTTTTTTCTCTCCCATGAGATTTCACCACTGTTTGGAGAAAACTCATTTATATGAAGGGTGAAGACTGAAGGGGGTGAAACCAGTAAAGTAAGCAATGTGCTTGGATCTCTCTCTTCCCCCAAAGGAGCTTAATTAGTATCTATTCTTGGCATGATGAATAACTATGAAAGAAAAATTGTCAGAAGACCCTATGATTTATTTTCATACTTATTTTTACAGTATCCCTCACTTGGAAGTCTCTCAAAATCTTAAATTTGTTTTTTATTTCCCCTGTGGGTATTTTATAGATTTACACTAATTTTGCTCTTCTCAGTTAGTTATTATCCCAACCAGTTGGGTACTTCTCTGATCTTCAGGAAAAATAACACTAAAGTTTTTCCAAGTCCAGTGTCAAAAGCAAAAGGAGCTGTGGTTTCCCTCAGAATGCAGTTACGCTAACAAGTAATTGGGGGGGGGAGGCAGGGGAGTGTATTTATTGCATTTGAAAAGCAATATTTTTAATTTAATCATTTATCGTATTTGTTAAACTAAGCGCTTTAAAAAAAAGAAAACATACTTTTCGGGGGGGCGGGGGGCAACAGTCTAGATGTTCCTACTAGAGAAAAAGAAAACCACCATTATTTTCAGCATTTCAGTGACTGTTAAACACGGGAGACGATGACTCTCCGAGACAATTCTGTCTTGTTTCTACAACATCCAGCACCACTGTATGCTATAAAATACATCATCTGAGTAATAAATGTTTAAAGCTTGACATTTCACCATCTCTGTTGATATGTGGTATCAGTTTTGATGGTCTACAAGGTTTTTATCATTGTTTAGCTTGGAACAAAGTATGGAAGAAAAGGAAGATGTTTAAAAAAAAAGTGGTTAAAACTGCCAAGGAAGGATTGATTTCCTCCCGTTGTGGTTTGCTACAGCAGTGGGCTGCGCACCTGATCTGCTCACAGGCCAGCCCCTCTGGGGGCTCCAACCTGAGGGGTCCAGGTGGAAAACCGAGGTGCTCAGCACCTCACATGATCAGACGTTAAAAAGTTGGATCCTGCTCCCATTGAAATCATCGGTGTGTTGCCAACAGGAACAGGTTTGGGCCGTAAGGGCTCTACCCAGTGCCTGCCGAAGTCAGTGTGAAGACTACAGTGAGTACTGCTTCCAGACCCTACTGAACTGATCCTGTTCCCCACAACGAAACAGTGCAGGGGCATCCAAAGCTATACCCATGAGAGTCTTTCTTTCCCTGCTCCTGTTAAATGAGTAGCATGACTAAATACCTCAGCAGAAGGGTTTGGTTTGGTTTGGTTTGGTTTGGTTTGGTTTGGTTCGGTTCGGTTCCTTTGGGGAAGGGGAGGCCGTTGCACATTTTTGTTGCTGTTGTAAGAGTCTGCATTTTAATATATGCAAAAACTCACTTGCTGAAACTATCATTTTTATTATACTGCGGTTCATCTAAACGGATGACAAATAGTGCAACTATTATGGTGAATTGTGATATTAATCACAGAATAAATATTGAAATCAATATTTAGACCCTTCCTTTGCCTCCTCCTTTGGCCACGCTTTGCAGAGGGTGGTTTCTGGTTTTGCAGTATTAGTGATCCCCTGATGAGAAGCACGCCTGAGCTACAGAAAAGAAGATAGCGGCCCCCTACGCACAACACGTCAGCGCCTAGCGGGTGTCTGCCACACTGCTGGCTCCCCATAAAGCAGACACTAACCTCAGATCAGAAGTTGGACCCCAGTCACAAGTCACGTAAGTGGAAAAGCAGCCTCCCCCATTGACATCTATGGGACCAGGCTCCAATGCCACAACCTCTAGGCTGGAGATCCACATCCCTAAACTGGGGGAAGGTTCAGTTTTGAATCAAACTCAGAAGCTCAGAGACAGCTGGTGCCAATATCGTGGTTTTAATCTAGCCATAGGGATTTGCTTCTGGCCATATGGACTGCCCCATCACTGCACAAGGCAAAAACAGTCACAAAGGGGAATATGTGGACACACTGGAGAGAGTTCACCAGGGGGCAACAAAAATGGTGAGGGGGCTGGGGCACATGACTTCTGAGCAAAGGTTGAGGGAACTGGGCTTATTGAGTCTAGAGAAGAGAAGACTGGAGGGGATTTAATAGCAGCCTTCAAGTACCTGAAGGATGGTTTCAAAGAGGATGGAGCTGGACTGTTCTCAGTGGTGGCAGATGACAGAACAAGGAGCAACCGTCTGAAGTTGCAGAAGGGGAAGTTTAGGTTAGATAATAGGAAGAATGTTCTCACTAGGAGGGTAGTAAAACACTGAAACAGGTTACCCAGAGAGGTGGTGCAATCTCCATCCTTGGAGGTTTTTAAGGCCCAGCTGGACAAAGCTTTGGCTGGGATGATCTGGCTGGGGATGGTCCTAGAATTCAATTGCACTGGTATCCCTCTTGCAAGCACCTCGGAGGCTTGCTTTATTAAGCCATATGTTTGTATTAGGCACAGTGACTTCTCCTGATTATAAATCCACCTGATTTTGAAAGCATGGCCTTCGCAGGGAGTTAACTGCTGAACTCAA